CCAAGCTCCATGACTTTGAGCTTGCTTCAAGTGCACCCTCAGAAATATATCTGGATTCCGTTGGCAGATTTTTTTTCTTTTTTCTTTTTGGGGAAAAATATCAGCTTAAAATTATGATATAAAGATCGTGACCTGTTTCGCATTGGGTTGTTATGCTGTGAACATTTCTGATGTATGGATTCCTGGTTTTTGTGCTCTTTGCAACACTGTTTCTTCTCACATGATTCTGGGATGAGATTGTGATTCACAGATTGTGCATGGTTAAGAACTTCACCTTATCATGAATTTGCTGGTAAATACATTACAATAATTAGATATTTACTCACATTATATATATTGTGCGGTTATTTAATTTCCGTTGTTCGATTCCGATACCATTTCAGACTTTATGATCGATTCCGATACCATTTCAGACTTTATGATGTATCTGAAAATGTGCATCAGTTTAGCCTGCAAGTAGTGACGTAGCCAGGATTATTTTTTGCCCTGGGCGAAAAATAAAAATGTTCTACGAGTATGAGGAGCTCAGTGAGAGAGAGGAGGGAGGCGCGGGAGAGGGAGAGGTTGTGGGAGAGGTGGAAGATCAGGGAAATGCTCAACAAAGTTGAGGAGAGGAAGGAGATGTGGAAGAAGAGAGGAGAAGCGGGGAGGAGGGAGGGTGACAATGGCGGGATATTCTTGCCCTGGGTAGCTGCAGAGGAGAAGCGGGGAGGAGGGAGGGTGACAATGGCGGGATATTCTTGCCCTGGGTAGCTGCCTAGGACAAGAATACCCTGGCTACGTCACTGCCTGCAAGTGAAATAAATTGTGCGCGCAAAAGATTACTGATTAAAGCTAGAAAACTAAAGATGATGTGATGAATATCATTTTATTTTTTTATATTAAACTTGGGGATATGTTGATAATAGAGATGTTGAAGATAAAATTTTTCAATTAAGAGTAGTTCTTACTTTTCCATTTCAGGATAAATTTTGACACCTCTTTAGGGGAGCTAGAACTGCGTTAGATCTTATATGAGTTATTTTATTCTGCATTTCGCTTTTAGGACAATTTCAATTGAGGACTCCGAAGTGTGAAAATGTGTTACCATTGCTCTTTCATTGTTTACTTTCATGCAAGTAAAACACAAATTTATCTAGGTATACATTTTTTTGTTTCGACGAGGGACCTTCCGAGTGTGAAAATGCGTTACTATTGCTCTTTCATTTTTTGCTTTCATGCAAGTAAACACAAACTTACCTAGTAGGTATACATGTTTTTTTGGCTTGCCGAGGGACCTTTCCTATGATCCTTCGGATTATAGATATCAAATACCTGGGTGTTATGGGTGCTCTCGAGGAGAGTAGAACCTGAGATCTTGGAGTACTAATCTTAGGTAGCTTATCAACTCGGCTAGACCCTCTTAGATAACTTATGTAGGTATACATTGAATTATCAAATGTTTATCTCATATTATATATGATATATGATATATATATATATATGTAGAAAAAAAAGTCTAAATGGATTCTAAATAATCGACCACATACATTGTGTCTCCGAAGATGATGCTTTAATATAATCATATTTTCGTAAGATTCTAAATAATCGACCACATACATTGTGTCTCCGAAGATGATGCTTTAATATAATCATATTTTCGTAAAGAGATGGTTCCATCTTTGAGCAAGAGCATACAAGAAAATCAATATTTTTTTAAGTTGATTTAAATTGGAAATTTTAATTCAACGCCTAATATTTAAGATTTTGGATCTAGCTGTTATTTGTCTCCGTTTAAGATCCAAAGCATTTACAACAGTTATTCCGAACATTAATAATTTAAAAGGTTGAAATTCTAATCTTTTATCAGTCTCAAAGAGTCTCTACGGTCTTCATACAATCCATTTGAATTAAGGTTGCATTATCTGTTAAGATTTCAATATTGTTACTCAAATTTATTACCGATAGAATAAAATTACAAATATAGCTATGTGGTGATTGTCCGGATTTGCGTCTGAAATATCCGAATATATGTTGATCAGACAATTACTTAGATTAATAGATTTGAGATTAATTTTTAATGACCAAGAGATCCAATCTTAGCTTTTTAGATATAAGGAACATATTAGTGAACTCTCTTATTTCACATGAACAATATTTTTCGCTATTATTTGGCTTTTTCATGTCAGAATATATAATCGCATGTATATCCATATAGGTATCCGAATTTAACAGGTATAGACAAGAGTTTTACTTACCGATGCATATCCGTATTCGTTTCTCTACATAAATATGATAAGTAATATGTCCAAACTGTATTCGAACCGTATGCTCCTCTAATTTGAATTGTATAAAGTTAAGATTAGGAAGAGATTCAGAATGCATGGTTCGCACGTGTGGGAGATAAGACCCTCCGCATAAAAAGTGAAAAGTACTTTCAAAATCCTAGACTGTTGGCACTTGTGCAAGATATGAGGTTGTTGGACGGAACTAGGTATGAAACAGTTGACTAAAAAACACTGAAATAAAACAAACCCCCTATAAAATCATATAAAATCTCCTTGCCCAATATTTGCGTAATATCAATTTTAAGTCCATATAAACAGATATTATATCACCGTAAATAATAAATATCATTATGAAATGTTAGATATTAATTCAACAACAAAAAAGCATTCTAGTCGAGCCAATTATATAAATTATGTACTTCCATTTATTTTTGTTACAAGTCATTTTCTTTATTAACTGTCATTATATATTTTCTAGTTGGCTTCCGGTCAAATTCCTTCAGGTTTATTTATAACCTTTTTTGTCATAATAACCATTATTGATAAGCACTAATAAAAACAGAATCTATTCCTCTACAATAATAGGAGGACACAAGAATCACTATTAATACACAGTAAACAACACAATGATTTACTGCAGCATTATTACTGCAGCATATATAGACCAGATAATGTAGCATTATCTCAAAAATTACTGTAGCATTTTTAAAAAAATTGCTGTAGCAGAGATGATATACCGTAACGTTTAAAACAAATTACTGTAACGTTTAAAAATATGACTGTAATATTCAAAAAATACTGTAGCAATTAAAACTGAATTACTATAGTGATAAAAAAAAGAAAAACCATGTTTCGCATTGAGGCGCAAACTAGTAATATTATATGGGTTAAATTATTACAATATTCTTACAGTTACGGATTCGTGACCTTCTAAAACAATGGAAAAAGAGAAAAAGAAACAGATCGCGAAAAAAAAAAAAATTCTATTTCGTTTGTCGCTCTTTATTTTCTCATCTTCCCAAAATGCGCTTGCTCATTATCCTGTTCTCTTTATTCGCGGGTTAATAGTTCTCACTGTTTCTTCCCAATCTGCCCCCCGCTCGCCGCCCGCCCTCTCTCGGGGTTTGCGGTGGGGCCCACTTATGTCCCCTCTTTACCTCGCTGGCACTGGTCTCTCCTCTCTCTCGTTTCTTTATGGGTGGTTTTCTCCTCATCCTCTCTAGAGAGAGAAAATAAAAAGGAAGGTGAGAGGAGAGAGAGGAGTTTGTCCTCTTGTTGTAGTTTTTTTCCCTTAACAGTCGGCCAATTTGATCCCTGAGCAAAACCCACCATTTTCTTTAGCTGTAGCCTCCGGATCTGCGTCCAAGGTGAGATTTCTCCTCTCGTTGTTCAGTAAATTTGGTAGATTTTTAAGGTGTTTTGCAGTGAATTTTTTGATTTTTTTTGCCAGCAGTTATGCTCTTGAGGAGCTAGAGGAGAGTTATCTTGAGGAATATAGCAAAGAATGCTGTTTGGTTTTTGTATTGGAGGTAATTGATTGATTTATTACCCAATTTGTTTCTATCAAATTAGTAAACAGAGAATCACCTTTCCTTTTATTTTTTTTATTTGATTGATCAATTAAGCATCCCGTTGTTTGGTTTTGTCTAAGACTCCATTTTCTCCTTGACCAAGAATCTTTTCTGTAAAACTTCTTCTCATATTCCTTTAATCCATTTCCCCTAATGTTTATTTATTTATATCTCTATTGTTTGGTTTGCAACATTGTAATTATACAATTTAGATGAACTTACAATTAGTAGAAAAAAATGCGGCAAATGCTGTTCCTAATTTTGTGGGAGAAAAATATGCAGCTTAAAAATCTAAGGTTGTGTTTGGCAAAGGGTTAATGGAGGGGTTAAAAGGGGTTTAACCCTTCATTAACCCGCCAAACACTAATTTATTGATAAGAGATTTGTTAATCCTTGATAAGCGGTTAAAACCCCTTAATCCTTCAAAACCCCATCGTTTTGAGGGGTTCACAAATCCTCCTGTTGAGGTGGTGTAACCTTTAACCTGTCTCTCATCATGAGGGTCATGAGGGTAGGCTACGACATTTTTTGAAAAAAATTAGGTAGGTCGTGAGTGCTTTTAAATTTTCAACTTTAGATTGTGTTGTCCATAAAAGATGGAGAGAGCTGTGGTTATCTTGACATTTTTATATTTTAGTTATAATTTAAAAGACTATAGGGAGTCGGTGAGAACAATCTTTGATGCTACTTATATTTTGATATTTCAGTTCTTAGTTGTGGATACTAATTTTTATTATTATTTCAAATCACAATAGCTATTTTTTTCTGTTTTTGTCTTCGTTAAATTGGAACTTATTCATCTATGGTTTCATTCTTCAAGTTGGAGATAAATATAGCTGTTTTTGAACAATTGGCATTGCAAGTTTATTATTTACTTAATGAAAGTTTTCCAAAGACACTTTATATAATTTATAAATTATGAATATGCGCAGTCTCTAATTTGTTGTGTACTTGCATTTCGGAGAGGGAGTCGGAACAAATTCTTGAACTTTAATAAGGTTAAAGTTGACATATTTAAATATTTAGCATGATCAACCTACTTAACCCTAGTATGATTAGCCTACTTAACCCTTGTCTAATTGTCAAACACTAAAAAGTTAACCCTTCATCTTAATTGTCCAATCCAAATGAAATTTAATTATTTTTAGCCCCTCATAATGGGCTAACTAAATTAACCATTCTCCTTAACCCTCCTTTCTTAACCCCTTACCAAACGGCACCTAAGAGACTAGTGTGGAATAGTTGAAGATTTGATGGAGTAGTATCTAAAACTCAAAAAAGAAGTACTTACATCCCATAAGAAAAAATCTTTCCTATGCCAAATAGGAAAACAATCTAGTGTTTACTTGTGTGATAAAAGCACGTAGATTTTGCACGGATTGTTTTTTCAACAAATATATTTTTCAACAATCATCTTCCTCTAATCCATTTCCTTAAATTTATTCCTATAAACTATAAATAGGAAACCAATCTAAATGTCAAGAACAAGAAGGCGTTCTGGGTTGAGATGAGGGATGTTATCTTTGTTGATGAACCTTCTCAGGGCCTGCTGGCGACCCTCATCATCATCGAGCCGACATGTTCATAGTGGTTCTGATGCTGTTGGTCGACAAGATGGCCTCCTTTGGTACAAAGACTGTGGGCAGCATGTTAATGGAGAGTTCTCGATGGCAGTGGTTCAGGCCAATAACTTGCTTGAGGACCATAGCCAGATTGAGTCGGGTGCACTGAGTTTTCTTGATTCTGGACCATATGGGACATTTGTTGGTGTCTATGATGGGCATGGTGGTCCAGAGACTTCTCGTTATATCAATGACCATCTCTTTAACCATCTCAAGAGTAAGCATCCTTCGTTCATTTGTAAGTTTTTGATTAACTGAATTGGTGTTGCTATTGGTATTGTCTGTGATGATTTGATGCCATGTATCATCTAAGTGTACTACTCTTTTGCTGGTCTTCAAACTATATTGTGGTTGCTATTGGTCCTGTCTGTGATGATTTGATGCCATGTATCATCTAAGGGTACTCGTCCTTGGCTGGTCTTCAAACAATATTGTGGTTCACCTTTTGTACAAACTATTTTTCAAATTTTATCTAAATGTGCTAGTCATTTGTTGCTCTAATGTGGTATATCCCATGAACAGAACCAACAACAAATTCTTTATCCCAAATTAAAAAAAAATGTAGATCAGGACATGTTTATTGCTGCTGGGTGTGGGCTTATTAACAACTATTTGTTTCCAACTTGCGCAGAGGTTTAAATACTTATAAAGTCTTCTCTAGTTCTTTTACACTTTCTTTTTTTAGTTGAAAGTTATCTGCATGAGTATTGCATTCCTAGTAATTTCATTACCCCAAACTCTTTAAAAAATGGGTTAATTACATTTTGATACCTTGTGATATGATGTAACTACATGGGTCACCCTGGGGTTTGCGTATCTACATGAGTATCCTCGAAGTTTACTGATCGGCGTGAAATTCTTAACAGAGCTTAATGTCGCATATGAAAAGACAAAAATGCCCTTTCATTACGACACATTTCCTCATTGTTTTGGTGGGATTTAACTCCATAGATTGCTGACATGTTTTGTGGGGACCACTTAAAGTTCATTGCAATTGAAACAAGCTGAATAAATCAAACGACAAATCATTTTATAGAGGATTACTTAGATATTAGTCCCTCAAATCTTCAGTAATTCCATATTAGTCCCTCATATCTTTGAAATTGCTCGGAGGTCTCACAGTATGGTTCCTCAACGACCAATGTACCCTTCATTTGTATTCTCTTGAAATGTATCTTGTCCAAAAGAGGATAATATGCACTTCGCTACCTTAATGTTACAATTTTTTTATTTTTAATACCCCCAAAGTTTTTTCAACGCTCTTGTACCCTAAACGTTACACCTTGTTTAAATTTAATACCTTAAGTTCTTCTGACACTTTTGTACGATAAACTGTTTACCTTGAACTTTCACACCTAAAATTTTATTTTTGACACTTTAACAGCCCAATATTTGGGCATCAATGTTAAAAATGTGTAAACTTGAGGTAGCAAATTGAAAATTGTGAAAACATTGGGATATCAAAAACCTTTGGGGTGTAAAAATTAAAAAGTTATAAATTTTAGGGTGTCAAATTGCAAATAAGCCTTAAAAAACAATCAAGCTACCAATGCCTTACCTCTTAGGATTTGAGGGACTTAGGAGCAATTCCAAAGATTTGAGGGACTAAATGTAGAATTATGGAAGATTTGAGGGACTAATATCTAATTCTTTTATGAATTACTTTCCCCCACAATTGCAATCAATATATAAAACCACGGGCTGGAAAACTTCATGCTAGCATCAAAAAAGAAAGAAAAGATTACGTGTCTACATATGTAGACAACACGTCACGGATGTAATTCCACCGTACCACAGTGCACTTGAACGTAAAAAGGGCATTTTAAGAATTACCATATTGTGTTAGTTGACGTGTCTGCAAAAAACAAACGTTGTTAGGTGATCATTAGATTTTGGATAGTGGTGAATGCAAGTTAGCAACCACATGGTTATTCATGTAGATACGAAGACCCTAGGGTCACCCATGTAATTACATCATGCCACAGAGGTACCAGAATGCAACTATTCCTTACAATGTTGAATAAAAGAACAATTTTTATCCTAGTTGTCGGCTACCTAACAAACTAATATGTTTTCAAATCTTGAAGAGGTTTTAATACATATAGGTTAAAATTTTCTCTAGTTCCTTTCCAAGTGATCATCAGTTATAGTGATCTATGAGTATTGCATTCTTAATAGTTTCATTAATGACCTCCTTAGGGGTTCTTATTGTAATTCCAATGTACACACTTCGCAGGGTTGACATCTGAGCAACAGTCAATGTCAGCTGATGTGATATGCAAAGCATATCAAGCAACAGAAGAAGGGTTCTTCTCTTTGGTTGCCAGACAGTGGTCTATAAAACCCCAGATCGCAGCTGTTGGCTCTTGCTGCCTTACCGGTGTAATATGTGGTGGAACTTTGTACATTGCTAACCTTGGAGACTCAAGGGCTGTTTTAGGGAAACTAGTTAAGGCCACTGGAGAGGTTCTTGCTGTCCAATTATCAGCAGAGCACAATGCGAGTATTGAATCTGTGAGGCAAGAATTAAAGTCGTCACACCCGGAAGATTCTCAAATTGTTGTTCTGAAGCATAATGTTTGGCGCGTAAAAGGACTCATTCAGGTACTCCTCTCAATAGTGTGAATGGAAGTTATAACTAATTTTTAAGTTTGCGGAAAACATATTTGGATTATCCACATCAAAAGCTTTATTGCAATACATGCTTTGTTTAGCAGTTGTTATTTCATGTAGTAGTTAGTGTTTAGGCGCACCATATTGGTTGTAAATCTTGCTATTCTTTTGCAGTCGATAAAGCAATCACACTTAAGTATTTTGGATTCTGTAATTTCTGACTGTCTATGTTCAGTTTCTGTGTTGTCACTTATAAAATACTGTGATTGTCGAAGTTCATGAGAATTTATCCATTTTTTTTAATTTGCAGTTTTGAAAGGTTGAGAACGTTCAAATTACTTATCTTGCAAAATCATCATTTAACATTGTCTATTTCTATAGGCTAGCCTATTTCACAGCTATGGATGCTGATAATTTATCCCTCAACTTTTGCAGTCTCCCCATTAGTATTTCATTAAACTGGCTGTTACCTTGCATTGGCATATATTCAATGTCCTTGTTTCTGCTCATCCTAATGAGATTTTGTTTTTAACGGTAGGATACAATTGAATGTTAGATTTTAAATGTAGTTCTAGGGTTTCAGTGAAAATTTGAATGGGAAGTGAGTCAAGGTGGTTGATTGCCCCCCAAATCTCTTTTAAAGGTGGTTCACGTATAAATTGACATTCAAATGTGGTTTCTGTGAAATGAACCTATTTTAAAGGTAATTTCTTGGGGGGAACGCTTAGTTTTAACTGTTTGTAAGCTTATTGATGAATACTTGCTAAAGTATTCTATTTGACATGCTAATGATTGATAATTTACCTACTGTGATTTCTATTCTCTTATTAGCTAAACAACTACCATTACTGACAAAAAACCAAAAGACTCAAGTTTTGAAGAGACAGTTATAACAGAACGTGCAAAGAAAGAAAGTTATTTAATTTGTTGGGTTTGGATTCTCAGAAATAAAACAAGATGCTAATGGTTAGTGCATAACAGCACTCATGTCATATGTTTGTGTACCTTCATTGCTATAATTCTATTCATGTTCTTTTCTAATTTGTTATGGCGGTCCTTTCCTTTCGAAGGTAACCAGTAGATGTTCTTTTTCTTTCCAAATCATCGACTTCAGTAAAAGTAATGTGAGTAGTCAATAGAACGTTTGATATGCTGGTTAATATAGACTTCAGTAGAAGTGATGTGAGTAGTTAATAGAAGGTTTGAATGTTTGATATGTCGGGCGATATAGACGTATAGTATAGTTCTATTATCAAGAGAAACTGAGAAAGTTGATATGTTGTAATGAAACAATAATGAGTTGCATCATAATGTACTTATTGCCATTTTGATATTTATGGGCTTCTGCATTAAAGAACTCGTTATAAGAACATGTTTGCTTTGGTCTGAAAGTTGGCAGTTGCATTTGAACGCCTGTGTTCATATTGTGTTGGTTCTCAAAAGGGCATGTTAAAAGTGTATAACAGAAGTATGGTTTTTTTCTACAAATCAAATTAAGTTTTTCATGCCAAAATAAAGCTTATATTACTTTCTCTATTTTATAGCTACTATTTAGAAACTAATGTTGAGTCGCACAAGAAATAAAATTTCTTCAAATAAACAATTTAGTATTTTGATACCATAATAATAGTAGTAACTTGTTACCAACTTTAGTTAATTAATTTGTCAGTATTTCTGATTATTGTCATGCTGTGTCCATATCCCATTCCTATACTACCTTATTAGTTTGTCCTTTTGCCGTAAGGAGCAAGTTAAAATGGAAGAAAAACTCACATTTAGAAGGTTAGCATGCTAGGTAACTTCAATCTGTAAACCACTTACGGATGCATAAGAAAAATAGTCTTTGATGCGTATTGCACTTTACTTCATGCATAATCAGTTAAAAGCGCAATCTGATATTGATATTAATCACATCATGATTTTTTAGTGTCCTCTAAAACCCACACCCACACCCTCTGGACCATTCTGACAAAGGATACTAGTAATCAGTTATTAATGTAATAATGAGATTAACATGGAAGGGTGTCATGGTTCTAGTTAGTAGTTTCTTTGCACCATGAAATCAATCTTGATTGTTCGTGAGGTCCTACCTGATCAGGTTTTGATCCGGCAATATCACGCTTAAATCCTACCGAAAGACGACATGGCTGATTGTATTGACTGCAGTTTTGGTTCCATGCTACTTCTTGAACTTATGCTATGGTTATCGGTAGTTGTCCCTAGTGCATGTGGGTTTTTGGCAGTCTGTCAAGGCACCTACACTAAGATGGTTAAAGGACACCGATACTACTCCTAGCAGTACTTGGCCATTTCGAAAAACATTATTCCTTCATGCAAATATGGAAGCCAGAATTTCTTGATTTTCTTGTTATGTTCTGCATGTACAAGACATGTGTTATATTTTTCTTTCGTAGTATCATATATTGCCTCCCAATCATCTAAGAACTTTTCACTGAAATGATTTCGTTAGTCATATCATAACTTTGCACTGTTTAAGGGTACAGAATAAATCTATTACATCTCCAAGATAAAACACTTATGTCAATTATTTAGTATATATGTCTTATTGTAATATGATCTATTTGTTATTTAAAACCCTTTATGCCATCGTGCATTTATGTTGAACTCGTGAAACAAAGATAAGGAGTTGGGAGGGGTTAGGATTACAGCTGAAGAAGCATCTAGAAATAGGGTAGACCAAATGATAAGGGATATGCAAATTAAAAAAGAATAAAATGATATTTTAATTGTTAAATTAGGAGAAGAGATGCCATCAATAGAGTTGAATGGAGTAAGCTGTCCATGGAGAACAAGAATTTAGATCTCTCCAATTAGGTGGTAATTGGAGAGAGTCCAGTTACTTCAATTCTTAGTGTCCATTCCAGTTTTAAGGGATAAGATGATGTCACGCAAGATTTTCGCCGTCACAATAGTGGTTTTCAAGACAATAGCCATTTTTAAAATAAGTGTAAATCATACGTGGCACCATCTCATCCCGTGAAATTGGAACTTATGCTAAGGATTGAAGTTATGGGACCCTTTCCAATTACCACTTACCACCTAATTGAGGATCTGAATCCAAAGAACAATTTGGTATAAAGGCATTTTGTTTCTGTTCTTTCCTATTATTTGTTTTGCACAAAAGGTAGATATAATTTCCTTGGCATATAATATAAATGTTTTATGGAAAAAAATCAGAAACATAGAAAAAGAAGAAAATATAGTCTTTCCTTTCTGATATAATAATATTGTTGTCATATGAGATTTTTCTGTGTTTTTTTCCTGGTGCCTTCCATACCTCAACTAATAACCTGAGGACTTGCAATCGACTCTTCATGTTCTTCTATGATTTATTTGTCAAGTGAAGCTCGACTCTTCATGTTCTTCTATGATTTATTTTAATTTTCACTATCTTCGTACTGTATTGCAGATTTCTAGGTCAATTGGTGATGTATACCTGAAAAAGTCGGAGTATAATCAAGAGCCCTTATATTCAAAATTTCGTCTTCGTGAACCTTTCAAGAAGCCCATTCTTAGTTCAGAACCATCTATTTCTGTGCAACCGCTACAACCATATGATCAGTTTCTTATATTTGCATCTGATGGGCTATGGGAGCACCTTACCAACCAAGAAGCAGTTGATATTGTTCATAACAGTCCTCGCAATGTAAGTGTATCATCTGGATTTTTCCATATCCTTCTCAGTTTAGTTTAGGATTGAAAAATGCAATATGACATGACTTTATGTTACAGAAATGGTCCAATGTAAGTGTATCATCTAGATTTTTCCATATTAGCCTTCTCAGTTTAGTTTAGGATTGAAAAATGCAATATGAATGACTTCATGTTACAGAAATGGTCGATGTAGCATTTGAGAGGTTATATAGGAGATTTAGGCTTGTGGTATATGCTCTTGTTTATTGTTTATATGGGCCCGTATGACACCATATGCCAAGACAACCTAGAATCTATTGAAGTAGTCAAGGGCCTTAGGATAATCAATGGCAAAAAAGGGACCTGGGGCCATTACTTTGTTTGAAAAAAGAGCCCTTTTAAGCATTATTTCATATGATCAAACCATCTTAGTGCGGCCATATGCGGGCATAGATGCCACTTCCTTCATTGCTTATTCCTCTTCTAGTATTTTGTACTTTGACTTCTTGTCTGGTCCAGATGGATGTGATACTATTCTTAATCTTATAGGAAAATAGTAATCCTCCAAATCTTCGGTATGTAAACTTGAATTATTAGAGGAGTTTTGGTTGCCATGAACATAAGTAATGCCGAGTTTTACCTTGTTCACGTGTTTTTCTATTGACAATTTCTTTTTGGTTCTTTTTGGGAGTATTAGAGAAGTTTTAGGTTTAAGTATTGAGGAATACCAAGTAAAATTTTTGGTGTTGGGCAGGTATATTATGACTAGGAAACCTTATTTCACTTTCCAAATCAACGGCATTCCAGTGTGTTAAGTTCACAAAAATGAAAATGAAAAGACCTGACTTTAACAACTTCAATTGAGGGGAGCATTAAAAAACCCTCCATTTTCTGGGGCGTTTTGCGGTTAACCTTCTTCGCTAGATACCATGACCGACAACTTTTGTTCAGATGTCATGTGCTTTGCGTGTGTCATGTTTTGGACGGCTTTACCCTAGGTTGCTATGTGATTAATGTATTTGATATTACCCTCTTCCTCCTCTCCCTCTTCTCCCCTAACCCACGGGCAACCCACCCTATTTTTATTCATTTGATCTTTAAAACCTTCAGAGTGTGGTTGATTTGGGTATGAATTTGATGAGGCTGATGAGTTTGTGTTTGGATCAGAATTTGGTGGTTACTGGAAAATTGGGTCTTGAGGCGATATAATAAAGGGATTTTGGGGTTTTAGAGAGTCTGCACAGTGAGGTGTTGTACAGTTTTGAAAGTTCTTGTGGGTTTCTCCAATTTATAAAGTTTAGGGGTTTGTGAAATTTACGCTTAATTAAATCTGGTCCGTTTTATGCTTTCATGCTAAAAATATGCAGAATGATAAAGATATTAATGATTTATATGCTATATGCTGGAACCTCCTAATTTCGCCATGCCTTCGTGCAGGGAAGTGCTCGAAGGCTTGTGAAAGCTGCGCTTCAAGACGCAGCCAAGAAAAGGGAGATGAGGTACTCTGACCTCAAGAAGATTGATCGTGGGGTCCGCAGGCATTTCCACGATGACATAACCGTTATTGTCATCTTTCTCGACACAAACCTTGTTAGCCGTGCCAGCACTATGCGGGCTACAAATCTCTCGGTCAGAGGGGGCGGCGTCAATCTCCCTCCAAACTCTCTTGCTCCTTGTTCTACGCCTACAGATGGTAACTCCTGATGAAAGGAAAAAAGTTATTTGTTTATGAACTTGTTTTAATCTTAATATATCCAAACATTGATAAGAGTCAGTTGGCTATGCTATAACTAGGGAACTAGGAAGTTTAATTTATATTGCTTTTATTTTTAGGGTTCGGGTTCTTTGGCTTTGTAAATTCTATGTAAGCCTCCTTTGCAATCTAATAGTTCTTTCTTCATTAGATGTATTTTCCTAATTACATTATGTTTACTGCAGAAAATGACAAGAAACATGTATATTCAATAGTCTGTTGTTTGATTAAGGAAAATTTGAGGTTTTGTAGATCATTTTATATAATCTTTGCTGAAGTGGGAAGCTGTGTCCAGTTGAGGCTGCTTTGTTGAGAAAAGAAAGGAAGAGTTGTTGGGTTGAGATTTGGCTGGAATGGTTGATTACTATCCCAACCATATATTGCTCTGTTTCATGTACTTGTTCTTCTTCATTTACTTTTGAAAATCTCCTAGCTTCTAGCAACATTATTTTAACGTCACGTATTTTCAAGAACAGATTTTGTGAAGCCATGTGATAATATTGCGAAATTGTACAAAGATCCTGAACTACTGCGTACGCTGGGAATCAAATGAATGGTATTCCCAACTAAATCATGTTTTACTAGGAATTTATCATATAATAATGCTAACAACAATTTGATTAGTAGCATGTAAAGAAAATGCTCTTGTGCAGGCGGAATCTAACAATTCTTTGAAACTATTAAAATTAGAGCTAGTTTCATATAATCTCCAATTTGCCTAACCAAGGCAGCTCTCTAGAGCGGATACGTAGCTGACAACGATTAAACTGAGGTCTAGAACGGTACCATTTCTAGCGAGAATTCATCGAACAATAATGTGCCAATCCGAAACTTGGATTGCTAAATAAGCTACACAATACGGGAATGTACATAATACAGAATCAAACATATAATCACAAACACCCTTTAATTGATGAATTTCACTACAAAAGACCAAAAGTTTTCAACTGACTTACATTTGTTTGCTAGCCTGCTGGAGATGTTCTTGTAACGGGAGGGAGTTTAACCGAGGTGAGATCACCAGGATAAGGTGTCCACAAACCCAATCCTCCTCTACTCTCTTTCAGCGCACTCTTGCTCCCTTTAAATTCATCCAAAGACTTGACCCACTCAACTTTAGAGGAATGCTCTCTGTTGTGCTTGTGCAATACGAACAATGAATTATATTCACAATTGGGGAACATGAAGAAGTTGAAAGCATCTCCTAATCTATACAACACATAGCCAAAACTAATCTGATCCCTCGGTGTGAAGAGGTTGACCTCATTGAACCAGAGGCAGCTGAATAAGTTGGTGAGTGCAGTGTGCTCCCGTATTATGACTGCTCCCTCAGGTACGTCTACATAACATCATATGAAAATGATAAGAATGTTTTCATCTGAATGTCAAGGAAGCGGAGGAATTTCACGAGACCACCATAAACATTGCAAACTACATGAACTTTTTTCACTGAGTTGTCGACTTGTCGTGTCTGTTGGAGATTTGTGTAACTTGTCACGTTTTGGACAATTCTGCCCTTACATGTAAACTATTTATTGTCTACATGACCGTTATGAACTTTATGGGTTGGTAAATATAAATATAGCAAGTTAGGCCTTTTATCCAAGATGAGCAACAATTTCCAATATTCCATATTATTTTTCTACAGGTTTCAAAGTTCATGGTGGTTTTTCTAATAACAAAGTGTATGGTAGTTTTGTGCAAAACCTGACAAAGTTCATGGTAGTTTTGTGAAATTACCAAAGGTAAAGTAAAGCCCTCTAAACATAACAGAAAAGTTTCTCTCTCTCTCTCTCTCTCTCTCTCTCTCTCTCTGTCTCTCTGTCTTGAAAGATATCAGACATAGATACACACACAATTATTTTTGCAGGCAATTTCATCATATCTTACACACACGATCATTTTAAAGCATGAATATCTGAAATGAGTTTAAACAAACTCCACTAATGTGTCATAAATATGAAAAATATGTTTAGATTTTGGTTAGAAAATAAAACTAACAGAAGCATTTAATGCAATTTAAACCAAGAGATCCCTCCTTTATGTATAAAAAGAAATTGGTGGAACTCCTAAATGCACAAAAAATTACATCTGTCATATCATAAAGGCACAAAAAATTGACATGTGTTAGTACCCACGTGCCTCTCCATCCTATCAAAAGATGACACCTGGACACCTATTTTATATTCATCTAAGAATCCTCATCAAATTAAAACTATCAATTATTAGAAAATTCTATTATTCAAATATTTTGCAATCCTTATCAAATTATAGCTATAAATAATTATAAAAAATCTTATAATCATATATTAAAATATAGAAATTAAAGGGAAAAAAATCATGTAGAGACCATCTCTACATAAAATCACAGGTTAATTTTGGAAAACCCCCTTTAACTATGGCGGTGTCTCAGAAAAACCCCTCAACTATTGTAATTTGAGAAAACTCCCTCACGTTTGAGCATATTATAGTTAACATCCCTCACCTATGAAAATTTGGGATAAACCCCCTGAACTTTTCTCACTTAACCCCCTCAAAGATACAGAGTGTGTCTCAGTAAACCCCCTCAACTATTTTAATTTGAGAACTCCCCTCAAGTTTAAGCCTATTATAGATAAACCACATCAAGTTTGAAAATTTGTGAAACAATCATGAACTCTTCTCAATTTACACTTGAAAGCTAATACCATTAGGTTTAGCATGTCACATGACAAGTAGGTGACTGAGAAAAAACCAAAATAACCCTCAATCATAAAAACTTACTATGATTTATGATAAGAGAAAGAGAGGAGGGAGAGGGAAAAAAGCATTGCAAATTGATCAATATCTTTTTTAATCGGTTGGAGGTTTTTTGTAACTACATGAGTTGATTTTCAAAAGAGTATTTCAAATATTTTACATTTTGAAATGACATCAAGGGAGTTTGGTGAGAAAAGTGTGCAATATTGTGGGTTGGCGGTGGTGGTGGTGGTGGTGGTGGTGGTGGGGGTCCTCTAATTTTTAAAAGTTGAGTAGGGTTATCTATAATATGCCCAAACTTGATGAGGTTTCTCAAATAAAATAGTTGAAAGGTTTTTTCTGAGACATCCACCGTAATTGAGGTGTTTTTTCTAAAATTAACTCCTAAATCATATATGCAAAATTATACATGTATCGAATTATATTTTAAGTTGGATGAATTAGTCTTTATCTTAACATATTAATGATGAATTGGTCAATTTTTTGTTATTTATTGATTTGATATCCTATCTTTACTGGTTTTAATAAAGAGGAGTTATTGGCTCACCTTCATCTCTCTTTAAAATATTAATAGAACACAAGAAACCATAAAAAACATATAACATGTAAAGGTCTATAAAATTAAAAACTTCTCTATTACAGAATATTCTATACGACGATCTGCAAAAGAATAAACAAATCAATTACACAAATTATCCAAAATATTATCTCGAATTATCCCCGCTTTATCTGATTTTTTTTAATAATTAGATTGAAATTCTATTTGGTTTTTAAGATTACGGTAATTTTATGGACATTTTAAAACCTTAATCTGATCTAAATACAATGTTTTATTGATTGCTTCATGTTACAGGATTTAACTCAATGTATTCTTCAGTTCATACTAAATCTCACACAGTTGGGAATCAGGTGAGTGTTCTTTAGTTCTTTTAAACAAGTCATCTAATTTGAAGTTCAAATTTTGAAATAAAAATTCATGCACACCCTTATTTAACATTTCCTTTATAAGAAAAAAGCTTCGGGTCAAGTTATCTAATTTTGAAGTAGTAGTTGCTCAAAGAAAGAAATTTTTAGAAGCACATACATAACTACAAAAGAAACTTATAGAGAATAGAACAAAAAATCAGATATGCAAACGAAAGAAACTAAGCCCACCTGTCCGAGCACAGACAAAACACTTGTGTTAACAACACCAAATCACTACAGCAAATAGAATAGTCTAAAATGGTTCATTTGTGTGAAAAACCTTGTCATAAAGATGTTACACAATATCTAGTTTCACTTACCACTTATTGTCCTTTTCTTAGGACTCCAAGGTTCCATTCCCTCATAGTAGTAGATCTTCATCTGCAAATCCACTAGAGGACGAGCATAGCGTTTCCTTCTCTTGATTGCATCACCCTCCTCATAAATACTCTTGTGATGTTTATGTTGTGCAATTGCAAATGTATACTTCCCCCGCCAAAGATATCTGAAAACATAAAAGTAACTAAGATATATCCATTGTCATATAACTGGTTTACATAACTCTGGGACTGATTACCTTTCAAGTATAAGTAGAGGATCAACGATAAGTTCCATTTTCCCATCAATCCAAATACTGTATCGAGCTTGTGGAAAGAGTCTATGAGTTATTATCTTAGGAACTTTCCCATTCCTTCTAGGCTCATCATATGGTGGGTTTTTTAGGGTCACAAGACGCCAACTACCAACCCATTTTCCTCCGTCAGAGTTCTCTGTGATGGTAACATTTTCCTTTATAAAATTAAGGGATTCTTCATCCACCACCATTAGAAAGCAGAAGAGCTTTTGAGAACGAGCACTAATGTTAGATGGTTGACGGGGCAAATCATAACCATCAAAAATGCCAGAGGCGACAATAAACCTACATTTCTTTACATATTTTACATCTATGGCATCCATGTCACCACCTCCATTTTTCATAAAGCCACAATGAACCTAAAAGGACACATGATGAGTCAATAAAAAAATAAGTAGATATAGTCTAAATGCTTGCAAAATGGTAGGCCTTTTTTTCCTAATAATATGCATGTCAACCACACAGCTATTAACCACCAAGATACAAACTTGAAGTGCGAGCCTGACATGCATGCATATGTAATTTATCAAGCTCACAGAGCATAAGTCTAGGTATTCTGTACATGTCATGTATAAAAGGAAATGTGGAGAGTCAGAATATTATCCTTTTTTCCCCTTTTGGTATGTATATTAACATGGATAATTCTAACTAAACAACACTATTCAAACTACTCTTACACTACTACACACAACAGTGTGGTGTCCTTCCACATGGATTGCCATCAAAGTTGATGGGTCATGAAGGGCCCGCGATCTTTGAGTCTAGTAGTGTGAGAGTAGTTTGTAAAAGTGTAGTCTAGCTATTAGTACTCTACTAACTTTAACTTACAGGAGTAATCTACAATATGCCTTCTGTTAATCAAGAGATAGGATACACAAGTGTAATGACATCTTTTGGGGAATACTGATAGTGTTTCTACAATATGCCTTCTGTTAATCAAGAGATAGGATACACAAGTGTAATGACATCTTTTGGGGAATACTGATAGTGTTTCTACAATATGCCTTCTGTTAATCAAGAGATAGGATACACAAGTGTAATGACATCTTTTGGGGAATACTGATAGTGTT